ACGAGTGAAGAATGGTTGGGATATATGCAAGGTGCATACCATACTGGATACAAGCAAGCAAAAGCTATCGCTGCAGCTATCAAGTGCAAGGATGAAAAGATTTGTCCGGGTTCTAAAGCCACGAGAATGGAACCTGTAATTGGCATTTTTGTAGCCATTATAACATGGCTCTTGTTTATGCATAAGTAAAACATGTTCGTGTAGRTTGTGAAGGTTGATTCTCGCCCATGCAAAAAATCTTGTAGCATAGCATTCRGAATATATRTATTCATTCGTGGACAGTTTTAGCAGCAATGTGAAACTCCAACTTTTTTCGGACTCAGAACACACCAGAAAATACTATTGAAATGTCCAAAACTTGGAATAAAAYACATTAAAAGATACCAATCACACAGCAATTTTACTCCGATCCTTGTCCTTCCCATAGGCAGAGTTCGGTATGTAGATAAAAAATCGATCCGAATAGAAACGTCTGTTATATATATTTAAGCAAACAGGAAAAACAGTTTCTGGACGTTTTTGTAATTAGAGGGTCAACCTATCAGAAGGGTGGCCGTACTATATTGGTTTTCCTTGTTAGGTTTCATAAAGAGGAAAAAAAACTGAATTAGCAGTCAAAAGAGACAACGTCTCTGCCATTTTCTTGTTTCCAAACATTAGCGACCGTTTATGATGCTAGTGTGACTTACGAGGTGAGCCCTACTTGTCATGTTCGCATGCAAAAAAGGTTTAGTATGGCCACCCTTTGTGTTTGCCTGACTGACTGATAAATACATATCACGCATATGCAATCGCAAATAATTTGGTAACCAGACGTACTGCGAGCTCCAGATTCGGCTGATAAATACAGAATTTTGGAATGCTCCTAAAGGATAAGAATGTTATGTTTCGATATTATGACAACTTATCAGCATAGCTTCTGAAATTCCAGACAGGTCCCAGGTCCCAGACGAGTTTATTTTGCAAACAATCACGTTATTGTAAAGGAAGAATATAGTCACTTGAAAAAGGATTTTCTTTACTTCAACCATGCAATCAAGTCCCTTTGCGATGTTTGTCCTCCTTGGAGCCGTTGCTGTTCCTTATTCAGTTGATGCTAAGCAGCCACACAGAAAAGTCCTTATTCTTGGCGCTGGCTTGTCAGGGATTGTGGCTGGGAAGACGCTCAAAGACCAGGGGATTGATGACTTTTTGGTTCTCGAGGGACAAGATTACATCGGAGGGAGAATCAAACAGGTATTTTAATTGTATAGCGTTTATAGCAGATATATTTTTGCATTTTCAACTCAAGAGTTTATAGGGGATACTAGCACGCTATCAGATGGAATAGTACTTASACAAACTGATTTAATCACATGCATGGCCTGGATATCTTGGGCTTAGGTCACTGGTTTCTTTACAGGACTTTAGCGCTAACTATACAAACACTGAACACTTATCCTTTTACTAGCAATCCGTCCACTTGTTAAGTTTGCGTTTGAGAATACACTTTTCTGTGCGTTTTGGCATGCCGTCCACATAAAAACGCTGGACCACTTAAAGGATATTTTTGAAAAAAAAGTCGTTTGTGTTTTCTCGCGTGAACGACACACTGATGATAGCTGGTAACTCGTCTTCTTTCGCAACATCATTAGTAGCCTAGCAGAAAGTGGAAACACTCCTTATTAAATAACAACACAGAATTCGCTTTCTCCCGTGATAAGTACTTTGAGAAGTAAAAAAATCGAGCAAAATGTAACGGATAGATATTTTTGAGATGTTTATTGTATGTTGAAACATAGCACCTTAACATTTATCTTGAGCCCAAGATCAGTCATTTTCTCGCGTCACGCTTTCTCTTTTTCTCGTGTTAAAAAGAGAATATTATCAAGATAATATGACTTTTAGGCAGAAATATCTGGGTTCAAAATTGAGGAAGGAGCCAACTATATTCACCATTTTAACGACGAAGCAACTGCGCCGTTATGGAAGGAAAAGAAAGCCAACAATCTTGATGGAATCTTCACTTCAAATTATTCTAAAACAATCTTTAGGYAAGTGGAAAAGTAGAAAAAGGGAAATAGAAATCTTTTGTTARGGTGTATCCAGTTAAGAAAAATAAATTAGGAAACCATGGACGATAGCCTCCGTTGCAGACGTTCCAAGCGGTTCGATTCTCTCCCGCAGAAAGTCTGCGGGAGAGAATCGAACCGCTTGGAACGTCTGCTACGGAGGCTACATGGACGACTCTTTGGAAATTGTCGAATGTGCTCCAGTGAGCTGCTTGTTTAGGGAAACTTTGAGATACATTTGATCCCATTAACGCTGTTCATTTTCGATTCACTTATAAACACATGAAGGCAACAACAAAGTCATTATGAAAGAAAGGGTTTTATTATTCGCAGGAAGAATTGTAATTCTATATAGATCAATAGCGAAGGAAGAAAAAAGGAGCTATTTTGTAGCTTTATATGTTGAATATTCTTGGAAAGAAATAAAAGCGCGACATATGCAAATGACATTCTTGTTGTTTTTATTGACTATACTAAAATTCTTCAAAAAGACGCACCGATTTCTGACCATCCGTTATTTGTGCGAAGTGCAAATGGGTTACCATTGTTTATGAAGGATTGCAATTTTTTTTACATTTTGATCACACAGAAATGAAACCGGTGCAGTGGTTTATGATCGTCCCAGCTCTATAAAATTCGTAAATGCCCTCTCGAAAGTCGATAAGACGATAGAGGAAAGAAGAAAGCAAAACCAGAAACCAATTTCATCACGTGAAGGACTTTCTCTCCTTGGCTGGACACCAAGCACTCCTTTTCAGTATCTCTTGGAGTGGATCTGGATTGAAGTGTCATT